ACTTCCATGCTGCACTTTGTGGAGATTTCATTCTATTTACAATATGGAGAAAAGCTCCATCCTGTCAGATCACCTCTAGATCCTCTCCACTTCTTCCTTATTCCTTCAAAATGGGAGCCCCATACCCACACAGAGCAATCCAGATGTGGTGGCACCAGGGCTGAGTCCAGGGAGGTGACAACTCCCCTGCCTGGGTGCCCACAGTGCCCCTAAGGCAGCCCCATGGGGAGTTGGCCTTCAATCAAGGGGCCGTTCTGATTCTTTGTAAGGTCAGGGAATCGAGTGGCAGTGTGACACTGCTGGGCCTCCTGGAACCAAAGGAATGCAGGGACACTGTGGAATGCCATGGAACCAAGAGTGACACTGAAGAGTCTCCTGGAACCCCTTGTGCCTGCCCAGCACTCCATGGAATCAAGCAGAGCCGCTGCCTCCCCCCCTCCCACCGCACGGACCGGAGTCGCCGGCTCTGCCCCACTTGGACCCCTCTGGAGTCAGCGTGTTCTTGGGCAACACAGCTTAGCTCAGACCAGAGAGTTTCCCACAGTTTGCTTTGCCTTCTCTTTCCCCGGGGTCTGGATTTTGTTCTTTGTTCATTCAGGGGGGAAAGGGGGAAGGGAGGCACGTGTTGATCCCTGCTTTGAACTGTTTACCAAAGGGAGTTGGGGCAGGGGCGAGAGAGGAGGCAATTTCCCTCTCTGCTGTTGCTTTGAACAGTGCTGTTGGTATTGCTGGTTTTGCTGCTGTATTTATGGTCAATGAACTGTTATTTTTTTCACTTATACCTCCTCGTATTTGGTCTCCCTGTATTGGTGGGAAATAAAAGGGGAGTGAGTTTATTTGATTGGAGTTCCCACCGCAATATGTGCCTTTAAATCAGGACGGGTTACTCAGGGGCTCTCTGAAATTTGGCATCATTCACAAAATATTTGAAAATACATTTTGTCCCATTTTACAGAGAGATAACAAAAATGTTCTCTAGTCATGTTCAAGAGCTGGTCACTGAGGGATTTCATCAGAAAGTTGCTGCCAAGAGGACTTTGTACCATGGATTTTAATTGACACTCTTCTTTCAGTCAAATTCCCACCCACCACATCTTCCACTTCTTCAGTCCAGCTCTCACCAATCTGGACATAAGGAGACCATAGGAGACCATGTCAAGGACTTTCTAAAATCTGGGCACACAACATCCCCTTCTTTTCCCTCCCACAGGGTTTCTGCAATCCCTGCCTTGTCCTTCCCATGCCTGGCAATGGCTGCAGGAGGACTTGCCATGTGCCCTTCCCTGCTGAGCCTGAGCAGTCTGGAACTCTGCCAAGCCTCCTTGCTGCCCTGTTTGCAGACTGGTTCCATGTCTGCCTTTGCCAAAGCCCCAGGAACCTCTGGGATGGTTCTGGCCTGTGCAAGGCTTTGGGAGAGGTGTCCCAGGGACACTGCCCAGCCTTCTCAACATCCCTGACCCCAAAACCTTTCCAATAGCTCACATTTACAGAGGAGTGCCCAGGACACAACACAGATTGTTTATCATGGTAGTCCTGGAGAATTAGAAGGGATTTCTTCCTTGAGGCCAACCATTCCCATTGGATTTTAGTGCAGTTGAAAGGTTTCCTCAGAATTTTCCCTGGTGCCTCCCTGCCCTGAAGGTTTCTGGCCATCAGGCTGTAGCTGAGGGGCTTGGGCAGGGCCATGAGGAGGGGGGAGAACAAGGGCTGTGTCCAACTCTGCCAGGAGGGTTGTGCTGGGCAAGGAGGAGGAGGCTGCAGCAAACAGTGGCACTGCTGAGCTGAGAGGAGCAGGGGGAGAGACCTTGTGCCTGCCCACGCTGGGCAGGAGCTGCCCCAGGATGGCAGCTCTGAAGCACTCCCAGCATGTCCCTGGGAACAGCAGGGCAAGACTGGATCTAAAAATCAGGCTGGGAATGCAAAGAGCAGGAGTGTCCTGGTGTCACTGCAGGAGAGTTCCAGCCCTGCAGCAAGGGCACAGAAGAAGTGACCCAGGCCATGCAGTGGCCTCAGAAGATCCCACAGCATCCTGGAGATGCTGTCAGGGAGGCCAGCTCTGCTTCACAAGTTCCCAGTGCCTGTCCCTGCCTGTGCTCAAAGGGCTCTCACCCCCAGGACTGTGCTCAGAGAGCACTCAGGCCTTGCAGCCAGAAAGGGGCTCACAAGGACAGTGTGGAAGTGGAAAGAGCAGCTCTGCAAAGCCCAAGCTCTGCTGCTCCCTGGCAGTGCTGCTGTGCTGGGATTCTTCTGCCCTTGGCCTTTGCAAATCCCCCCTGTCCTGCAGTGTGCTGTCCTTCAGGAACAGCTGAGAAAAAGGGTCCTGGACAAAGAAGGCACTGCAGGGTCCTTTATTTTGTTTAAATACTCAGAGAGCACAATTCATCATTTATACATCTCTGGGGAAAATTCAATGAGTAGACACTAAATTAGAAGGCAGATACATTATAATATCTCATTGTACAGAAAATAACTGCAAGAAGGACCTGGTGACCTCCATGAAAACCTGAGCAGAAGGGCTGGGCCATTAAAGAGTCTCCTGAATGCTACACACCAGAACACAGGCGCTTTATTGCTGCTGAAAAGCGTCCAGTCATCATTTTCCTCAGGGCATCTCTGAGCTCCTGGTTCCTCAGGCTGTAGATGAGGGGGTTCAGGGCTGGAGGCACCACCGAGTACAGAACTGACACAAACAGATCCAGGGATGGGGAGGAGATGGAGGGGGCCTTGAGGTGGGAAAATATGGCAGTACTTACAAACAGGGAGACCACGGTCAAGTGAGGGAGGCACGTGGAAAAGGCTTTGTGCCGCCCCCGCTCAGAGGGGATCCTCAGCACAGCCCTGAAGATCTGCACATAGGAGAAAACTATGAAAATGAAACAACCAAATGCTAAACAGGCACTAACCACAAGGAGCCCAATTTCCCTGAGGTAGCCTGAGTGTGAGCAGGAGAGCCTGAGGATGTGTGGGATTTCACAGAAGAACTGGGGCAGGGGCAGGGAAAATGTATTGGCTGTGTGCAGCAGAGAATACAGAAACCCAGAGGCCCAGGCAGCTGCTGCCATGTGCGCACAAGCTCTGCTGCCCAGGAGGGTCCCGTAGTGCAGGGGTTTGCAGATGGCAACGTAGCGGTCATAGCACATGATGGTCAGGAGGAAATACTCTGCTGACATGAAAAAGACAAAGAAAAAGGCCTGTGCAGCACATCCATG